GAGGAAAATATTATTTTCCTCGTAAGAGCCTCGTAAATTTACTTCCACTTTACGAGGAAACGCTTTTCTCGTAAGTTTACGAGAACCTTACGAGGAAAAGATGTTTCCTCGTAAAGTCGAAGTAAACTAGTAGTATTTTTACGAGGAAATGTTTTCCTAGTAAATTTTCCTAGTAATGGCTTAGTTTTCTTGTAGTGATGTATGTAATTGTAGGGTCCACTAAATAGTGTAGAACCCTATCCAAAAGTTCTAAAAACAAAAAAATTTAGAATTTTTGGATAGGATTCTACACTATTTAATGGACCCTATAATTATATATATATATAATACATATATACATATATATGGTTTTAGAACTCCAATGAGATAGAACCTTCATTGGAGATGGTTTAACAACCTCCCACTGCTGGTGAGAAAGAACTTTCCCTTGATTGAGGACGCCAACTCGCAGCATTCTCCGGTGTACCGTCTCCCTTAAAAACTCTGGCGGAACCATGGCCTCTTCTCCAGATACTAAATCCGGTCAGATTATCCCTAAAGAAAGATGATTTTTTTTCTATCTACAAAATGGGTTCAAAATGATAAGGTGAAATAAACATCAAACTAGCTATTAGAGCTCCCCAATGCGAGTATCTATTATTGGAATTCTCAAAATACATAGCAAATTGGGGGTGATCTTACGGCTGGGATGTCCGATATTTGAGTTGGTTTCAGATAGGACCAGTTTGGTCCCGGAAAAATAGGGTAAATCGATTGTTTTCATCTCGTGGAGCTTTTTTGGCAAACTAGAACTGTAGATAATCAAGTACACATAAGAACACCACTGTGGGATTTTAATACAGGTTCACATAAATCTCAAAAAAAAAAAATTATAATAATCTGCTTCTGGTGAAACCGTGTTGTGTGAGTTTTCCACAGTAAAACAGATTCATCACTGTTTTGCAGACCCCATGACACATGGTAGTCCGTAATTGGTTAGAAATTTTAAATCAAACAGAAAAAAAAAATTAAATAATTAAATTGGGAATCACGCTCCCTCACTGATGGAGATACTCTATCGAAGTCAAGAGTGACACCTTAATAAATACTAGGATTTTTAGTAATTTAAACCCTCAACTAAAGATTAATCGTAAAACAAACCCTCAACTAAAAATCTTGTGAAATAAACCCTCATCTTTATGTCCGTTAATGTTTTCGCCCCTCCGTAACTTTTGTCGTTAACTTTTGACGGAGAAACGTTAAATGTTGACGAAAAGGTTACGGAGGGGCGAAAACATTAATGGACATAAAGATGAGGGTTTATTTCACAGAATTTTTAGTTGGGGGTTTATTTCACATGATTTTTAGTTGAGGGTTTGTTTTACGATATATCTTTAGTTGAGGGTTTAAATTACTAAAAATCCTATAAGTATTGATTATTTAGTAATTTTATGACCGATTTTACTGTTAATACAAACTCACTTTTTTTGTCAATGAGATCTCGCATTCCTTCGGTAAATCCAACTTATAGCTATTCTTGTTTTCATGTTCGCTCTTTCACAAAAAAAACTTGTTTTGAGATTAATGTTTGGTTTAGGTTTTGCATTAGTCAATTCGTACAAAGGAACAACCTAAGACCGGAGTTTAAAATTCAGGTATCCGATCTTCATTTTGGTGAAGAATCCACATTAGCTCAGACAACAAATTAAGTGAACCAACCTCCGTCAATTCGTTCTTTTTTCTCTAACAAATCATCTGAGTGTCTCAATACTATGGTAAAATCTACCTCAGCATGTTCATCTTTCAGTGGTCGTCCTACAAGGACAGCGACTTTAATGCCATTTTCAGTGGCTACATCACTCAAACCAGTCACTCATGTATTTCCTTCCGACCCACCAACCAATCTTAGAAAGACAAAAGGTAACTAAAATATCACTTATCCTAATTTAAGTTATAGATATGTTAGAAGCGTTCACTGAACCACCATTCTACACATTAACTGTGGTATTATTTTTGTATTTATTATGTTTATGTTAAAATTAGTAGGTTCTCTTTTAGCATTGAGAGACTGAGATGATTTGTTAGAGAAGAAATAACGAATTGACGGAGATTGGTCCACTTGATTTGTTGTCTGAACTAATGTGGATTCCTCACCAAAATGAAGATCGGATACATGAATTTTAAACTTCGGTCTTAGGTTGTTCCTTTGTACGAATTGACTAATGCAAAACCTAAACCAAACATTAATCTCAAAAACAAGTTTTTTTTTTGTGAAAGAGCGAACGGGAAAACAAGAATAGCTACAAGTTAGATTTACCCTCCTTTGAGGTCTCACTACCAAAGAAAAGTGAGTTTGTATTAACAGTAAAATCGGTCATAAAATCACTAAATAATCAATACTTATAGGATTTTCTAAAAAAAAGTATTTTTAGTAATTTAAACCCTCAACTAAAGATATATCGTAAAATAAACCCTCAACTAAAAATCCTGTGAAATAAACCCTCAACTAAAAATCCTGTGAAATAAACCCTCAACTAAATATTCGGTGAAATAAACCCTCATCTTTATGTCCATTAATGTTTTCGCCCCTCCGTAACCTTTTCGTCAACAATTAACGTTTCTCCGTCAAAAGTTGACGACAAAAGTTACGAAGGGGTGAAAACATTAACGGACATAAAGATGAGGGTTTATTTGACAAGATTTTTAGTTGAGGGTTTGTTTTACGATTAATCTTTAGTTGAGGGTTTAAATTACTAAAAATCCTAAATACTATATCACTTAGAGCACTTCCAATAAATGAAGAACCTCACAGACGAATGAAAGTGCTCTTATTGTTATTATCTTATGTTTAACTTTAAAATAGTATCCCTTTCCTTTCTACTGTCTTAAGAAAACCTTGTTAACAACCACTTGAAAATTTAACTCCGACGAACTAGAAGGATGCTCCACAGCTTCCTCTGCCAAACGCCGCCACTTTTCCGCGTTGTCTCTCATTTTATTTCCTTTCTCTCCATCCATTAGCTCTCTTATCACCGCGTGAACCTCCTCCCTCTTCACATCTCCACCGATCTCCATCCCCACTCCCCACTCGTCACAACAAAACTTACAATTCGTTGGCTGTTCTGCAAAGAATGGCCAACACACCATAGGAACTCCACCACAAAGACTCTCTATAGTCGAGTTCCATCCACAGTGCGTTAAGAACCCTCCCACCACCGGATGAGAAAGAACTTTCCCTTGTGGACACCAAGTCGCTAGCATCCTCCGACCATCCGTCTCGGTTAAAAACTCTGTCGGAAGCATCGGCACATCACCGTTTAGTACATCCGGCCTGATCACCCACAAAAACTCTTTTCTTGTTGCCGCCAAACCCCAAGCGAACTCTACGAGTTGTTTTGCGCTCATCACTGTTATGCTACCAAAGTTAACGTAAACTACGCTGTTTTGAGACTTGGTATCGAGCCAGTCTAGACACTCCGTCTCCTCTTTCCATAGACTCGATCCCATCTGTCCTATCTCGCTATCCTCATCGATAGTTCGATTCACTAGTAGATGGAGCGGTCCAATAGGGTACAACACCGGAGGTAAAATAGACTGCAAAGATTGTATGGTGTCATGCTCAAGATCATCAAACGTGTTGACAATGATAGCAGTAGCACGTTTGAGTTGGCTAGTCTCATGGAGAAAAAAATTGAGCATGATGTCGTCACGACTAGTCGCATGGATGAAGCTTGGGATGTCTTTTAGTTTTAGGTTTTTCATCGATGGAATCCAGTCTATTTGTGTGTTTAAGTAACTCTCATCTGCAAAATCCACCACTATTTCATTACTAATAATATTTTTTCTAATATCTCAATATTTACCAGTAGTAGAAATGAAACTAAATTTAATATTATAGCATGGATTAAATTATTGATTAATATTATAATACCTTTTAATGGACATAAGTCCTTTTCGATGAATCTGTGAAAGTACATATAGGCCAGGAAGCCACAAGCACTTGTGGTCCAAAAAAGAACACACGGGACACCGAGCTCTCCCGCAGCGTCAAGAGTGAAAATCATAACACCGTCTGATACAATACAGCTCACTGGAGAAACATCATCTCGTGCGTTGATCTGCTGAAGAAGTTCCTTAAATGGAGCTAGACAGTTCTTCACGGTAGACTCACAAAGGGAAGGGACGTCCTGCATCCTATCCCCATCAGTCTCTAGTAAACCATCAGGGATAGACTCGAACCGGAACGTAGAAATCCGGTCCAGCTCGTCTGGTCCACGTGACCGGAGTAGACGGTTGTGATTGTAGACGTTGTTGACAAAGGTGACGTGAAAGTCTTTGTTGTGGAGAAGTTTAGCTACTTTCAGCATCGGGTCGATATGGCCTTGAGCAGGAAAAGGCACGCAAACAACATGTGGTTTTTGTTCGCATTTTTTAGAAACGGTATGAGAAGCCATTTTTTTTTTTCCTTTCTCGTGTGTCAAAAAGAAGGAACAATGGATGTGATTGATCTGGGAACCGATTTCACGATGCTTTAAAGGACTTTAGGGTGAGATTATATAATTGAATTCGCGTATTTAGGTTGTCGACATGTGCGTCACGAGCGAAAATTTCAAGATGCCGTAAGACTGATATGCTGCCAACAAGTTAAAGATAATGTTTATCTACATGTAGCATGAAACTAGAAACTATATGTAAGTGAGACACAATTCGAAATGTGGCCCCGTCAGGCATTATATCGTGAACATTTTTCTTCGAGATAAAAGTGCACTATTTAAAGAAACAAAAAGAAAAAAAGTAAAGGGCACTAGTTACAAAAATCTAATTTTTATATTAAAATTTTCAAGTTTTATAAACTAAAATATAACTTCTGTTCTAAAACGCGAATGCCTAATCGATTAATCGTCCGATTAGACGCTCTTCACTCAACCACCTTAAGATCAAAACCCTTTTCCTCTACTTCATTTTCTCTGTTTTTAATACTTTTTTGACGAACGATTGAACATTGGATATTTTATAGCATCAACATCGTTAAACACCACTAGACCACACGACATGCTTTAATGTCTAAACACATATCTTCGTATATATATACATAATAATAAAAAAATATTTTTTTGATTAATTTCTAATTAATCTTTAATTTATTGACTAGGTGTTAGATTCAAATTAAGCAGTCGATTAGCGTCTAACGGTTCTTAAACAAAAAATATAAGGGCATGTTTATTATGAGTTTTTATGGTGAGATTTTTAATTCATAATTTGACATTTTCATATTTTTTTACATTTTTTGCTAAAATCAGTTTTTATATCTCTTATTTAAGAATCAATTATTAAAAAAGCGTATTCTAACTGAAACTAAGAAGCACACCAAAGAACCTCCAATAAACATAGCCTAACACGTGATATAGATAATTGGAAAAACAAATTACACGTATTGGTTGGTTTAACTTGCTCAGCTATATATGGTAAATCGGTTTCAAAAATTGCATGTAAATAAACACTGCTATATATATCTTTCGAATTTCTAAAAAATAAACGTATTGGGTGGTTTAACTTACTCAGCTATATATGGTACCTAATTTCTAAAAAATACCAAAACTTTGTTTGGGCAACAAGTAAAGATAGAGTGTATGATCAAGTATTTTGTAGTAATTTAAGAGATTTTAAAATGTTAATACTTTCTAAATTTAGTTTTCATGAATACCATTCGACAGTTTTGTATTCGTTAAAGTATTTTTTTGTCGGCAATAGTCTCCGATAAAGTCCAAAATACAGTTTAGACCATCATTAATTAGGGTTCTTAGATTCGATTAAAAATAATTTTTAGTTTTTCTTAAATTTTAACTAAGAAAAGTTAAGCATTAGATAATAAAAATGTCTTTTAACTGAAAAGTGAAAAATGTTAAATCATAAGTTACGAACTCTGACTAACAGATCCAGGTTAATCATGTCCCTTAGACCATCCGCAATGGTGTACTCCTTTGGAGTCCTTAGGAATTTTTTTTTTGAATTTTTAATTATTATTTTTTTTTCAGATTAAAAAAATATATCAACGAATTATGAGTTGCCACGTGTAAGGATTCATTAAAAAGAATCCTTACGTAAGAATGTTTTGGACAGAATCCTTAACTTTTGATGGGGTCTATTGGTTATTTAATTATTTTTTTTCTAAGGACTTCCCGCTAAGGACCGCCATTGCGGATGCTCTTACAAGTGCAATTGGCTCAGTATCGACATGATTACAAATTCGATCATAAGAAAAGAATAAAACACGTGTGATGAGTGTCATAAGAAAAGAATAAAACACGTGTGATGAGTGTGGCAAATTATAGAACACGTGGCAGTGAAATAGTGAGCTCAATGGAGTTTTAAAGCCCACTAAATTTTAGCATGGACTTATTTCTAAGTTTAAATAGTCCAATAAGCATTTAGTCGGCCTTGTTAGTACTTCTTCGGTGCACATTCAAAGTAGTTGGAACTTTTTTCTTTCTACTAAATTTTACATGAACTTTAATTTAAATCGGTGTAGATAAAAACAAGTTATCTTACAAGTGCAATTGGCTCAGTATCGACATGATTACAAATTCGATCATAAGAAAAGAATAAAACACGTGTGAGGAGTGTCATAAGAAAAGAATAAAACACGTGTGATGAGTGTGGCAAATTATAGAACACGTGGCAGTGAAATAGTGAGCTCAATGGAGTTTTAAAGCCCACTAAATTTTAGCATGGGTTTATTTCTAAGTTTAAATAGTCCAATAAGCATTTAGTCGGACTTGTTAGTACTTCTCCGGTGCACATTCAAAGTAGTTGGAACTTTTTTCTTTCTACTAAATTTTACATGAACTTTAATTTAAATGGGTGTAGATAAAAACAAGTTATCCTATTTAGTCATTTGTATAGGTCACTAGGGGAAAGAATGGAAGGAAATAGAAGAGGTTATCTGTTTATGTACAGAAGCTTTCATTCGATGAACAAAAAAAGAAACTTTCATTCGATGCTTCTGATTTTTTTAACTGGATTTTGTATTANAGCTTTCATTCGATGAACAAAAAAAGAAACTTTCATTCGATGCTTCTGATTTTTTTAACTGGATTTTGTATTAATTTTTTTTTTCATACAGTACAGATGGAAATTATACAAAACAAAAAAGAAAAATAAAATAGAACCGAACCATGCGAACAAACCGGCTGCTAAACTGGTTTTATTCGATGCTTCTGATTTAACCTTACCTCTTGTCTTGCTATATGTTACTGACTAGTTCGACTTCCTCATATATTTCAAAATCTCTGTAATATACCAGTGACAATAAAAATCCCAAAAGGATAGTACAAGAAGGATGGATAATTAAAGACGTCGGTAATGACTTCATATATTTGTAAAAAGCACATAACCGTAAAGTCAACACACCTAACATCTCCTTTCCACCAACATATTGAAGAACAAGACTCCGTGTGTCCGACCTCACTTGATTATAATCACCTCTCCACATGAAAGAATATGCTCTTCGTCTCATTCCATTCCATTCCATTCCATTCCATTTTCAATGCATAACACATTTGCCTCTACAACAAAATTTCAAGGACGGTATAACTCACAAAAAAAAAAAACTTTATGGACATGTCCATTTTATGTGGTTCTTGATCTTATGAGTTATGAGGAGGCGAACATATGCTTTTTCAGAAACTGAAAGTTTTCAGTTTTCTGTCTAAAAGTATACTACTAATCGTTAATAACAATCATAAATGGCATTTAAACACGAATTTGGTAAGATTGAAACAACTCTTGATTATAAATGATCAATATATAAAAATAACTAACCAAAAAGGGTTGGTAAACTCTAACATGTCTAAATCTAGAAAACTTGAGACGACAAACAATTACATCAAAAGTGGGAGTTGGCGTAATAGAATGGTGGGGGTCTGCTCTTCACGACGGGTGTTAGGTGAGACGATAGATTAGCTTTAATCAGACTCAATTTGGTCTCTATCCATTTTCATGTTTTTAATTATTATTATCATCAACATGCTTGTATATAAATAAATTACTTTGTTTAACTATTTTAGTTATCTACCCAACATATACATACAAATATTAGACCACCGCTTACTAGTTGATCTCACCGAAAATTAATCATCAAAAGTTCATGGGCGTTTTATAATTTTAACTAGAATCAATCTAAAAATACCGATCAAAACCAAATTAAAAATCCACAAATACTAGTTGGGTCCAAAATCTCGTTATTCAAAATAACTAGAACTGAAAAAAACTAATCGAGTAAATCCTAACCCAAAAAATCGATTGAATAGACTCAATCTGAAGAGACTCAATTGATACCCAACCTAAAAAATTGAATATTCAAGACTATGATTTTTTTTTTCGACTCGCATCTTTCAAGATTAAGTGGTAGACGGTCTTGAAATGTTTTATCCGGCTGAATCTGATCTATATGGGTAAAAAGAATACCGCTAATTCTCGCCTCTTTGGCAAGGAAATCTGCACGCAAATTCCTAATCCTGGGTATGTGGGCAATCTGAACTTCGAGAATCTAACTCGTAGAATGCCGGCCAATCAGTAGGGTGAACAATCATGTCCACCAGGTCGGAGTGTGAGGGATAAAACTCACTTCCTAATTTAGGTTAGGTTAAGATTGGGGAGAAGACAATCATGGGCTGAATCCCGTAAGAACTTAGAGAATGAATACGTTTGTTTATATTGATTTTGATAAGAAAATGAGTTTACAAAGATGAACTTGATGATCAGAAGTACAAAGATGAATTGAGATGATTGCAATGAAGGAAAAGTGTTTAAGTCTTTTGGTCTAAAAAATGAGTCGAGAGAGGATCCTTTTCTCTGATCTCCTCCTCCCTTAAATAGCTCTCAGCCACGTTTGAACGACCCTAACCAGCCTCAGAGATTTGCTCCGTGAGTTGGGGGATTCTCAACAGTCTCCTTTTGACCGGGTCCTGCGCAACCAGCCTGAGCTACTCCTGTTAGCTCCTTGTAAATGAGGTCCAGAGCTCTCCTCCGTGACCTGTTTTGTTGACGTTCCTTCCTTAGCAAAAACAGCCTCCGGCTTCTTTTTAACTCTTTTCTCAAAAGATTAATTGCCAATGGGCTTACAGTGGCCCAAAGTCAACTCTTATCGCTCGAGCCCATTAGTCTCAGCTAGCGGGCCATATTTGGGCCCAACAGTTGCCCCCACCTTTCGAGATGAGACCTCTTTTCTCGGAAGCTAAAGCTCAACCGCCTGATCTCTATCTCTTTGTTGAGATAACGATTATGTCTTCGTGTTCCCAAGACTTCTGCCCAATGGGCTTTCTTTTTATCTTTGCTAAGACTTGTGGCCTGAGGAGGCTTTTAAACCCTTGCTTTGTTAGGATCTTCGATCTTCGTCGATGTTTTGATGAATTCCTTAATACGGACTCGATCGTCTAAGTAGAAGTTTTTACTTCCTTGAACGAAGGATTCTGGGTCCTGTTAGTAACAGGTCCCGTAGTCGTTAGACATCAG